TACAGATCTGACAATATGTCTGCACATCAAATCGAAGCTGGACAAACTGGGTCTGCAAGTAATCACAACACTGTTGAACAACACTGGTAACTTGGAGGTGATCGGCTGCGACAAGAACTTCAAATACGTTTTCATCGTTGACTTCAAGATCTCCGCTGTAGATAGAATCCAGCACGATCTTCAAAGCAGCTGCTGAAATGCTCTCATCTTTGAGCTCGATCACTTCCTGGTTTGACTCTTTCATTCCATGAGCAAACATGGCGTGGAAATAATCGCTACTGGCAGCGAGCACGATGCGATGAACTGAGAAAAGTTCTTCCCCCACTTTTAAATGAACATCAATAAATTCACCTTGTTCTTTAAACTGAGCACACTTCAACAAAAGAATCTCAGAATGGGCAACCATGCTTACATCGACGAAGAAAACTGACTCGGGTTCACAGGATTCGTGATCGCGTGACGTTTAATCTTATCAATTACGTCATTTAAGGCGTCACGAAAATTGCTTCTTAAGAAGCTAATGCACATGCATAAGCAGCCGTGTTGACATGATTTTTTTCTTAATTTTCCTTTTCTTCGTTGAGTTGATTGGGAAGATAAGTACGGTGCCTTCGTAAGCGTTTGTTTTTTTCCATTGTCACCACGTTAGTACCCCCTATCCGCCATTACAGATCGACGCAACGCCAACTTCTATTATAGCATCGAACGCCTGTATGTCAACTTGTTTTCTTTCTTTAAGGTTGACAAACTATTTTAATGAAACCTAATGCGCCCCGGTGATTCGGGCTTTGGTATGAATATGAGTGAGTAAAAGCAATGCACAGTATAATCCCGATTTCTCGAACCCATGGTTTTTCGAAATTCCCCATGACTCGAACCAAACCACTCAGACACTGAAATCTTACCCCTGATTTTTCAAGCCTCCCGATAATTTGAGCCTATCTTATTTGCTTTTCCCCAGCTGGTTTGAAAAATCGGAATTCCACTGGAGACCTTGTTTATCGTCGCGCGGGGATAGGGTCAGTGCACTCAGTCATTAAAATACTATAAATGTTTTTAGTCTGGTGCTGATGGGTTCATTGGACCTCCGGACCCCTCCCCAAATATGCCAAGAAGCGTCTAGCGCCTAAATGCACGCTAATCCTTGCATACAAAATAGACAAATACTGTTTAAATGGCATCTCTATTTCTATGAGTTAAAATTACTTGGGTAGCTGATTGTTGGTGTTAAAAAGGTGTAAATGTTATCAAAGAGTTCCTCAAGTTCTTAATAGATTCAGGAGTCACTGAAGAGCGTGAACAAATGTCTTGAAAAATGGTCTTCATACAGCTGAGAAAGGAGAGAGAGAGAGAAAAAAGAGAACTGATATAAAAACTTGCACATGTAATAGGGGGGGGTATAAATTTATAACCCAATTCATAGTTAACAGTGATAAATATTAGACTAAGATACGGTAAATTATAGGGTTTTTTTAAAAAAGGCATGGAGTTAATAGATTTCTTAGTAGAAAATCGCTAAATATAAAAGCACTAGCCAGACGGTTTTTACTAAACTACTCTTAGCTGTTCTGTTCCAGTATCGATTTTAAAATTCTAATCTAACTTCAAATTATCCTATACATGTTAGACGAACTCTGTCAACGTCTGAAAGTCACTGATCATCATGATACAAACACTTCTCATATTGAGATAAACCAGCGATAAGAAAAAATGTAAGGCTGGATACTGAGGTGAGGGAAAAGGGAAAGCCCCTCCCAGAAGGAGATTCGAAACCACATGACGGCGTGACAAATGTTTAAGCAACCGCAACGGTAACAGCAACGACAGCTTCAAAAAATCAGTAGGGAGCTCTTCCATCACACTTTTTGGTGCATTTCCTTGTAGTCACTACACGACTACGACAAGAAATTCGCTGGAGCGAGTTTTACTTTTAGAGGACGGAAACACACGACAACGATTTTTTTCTATTTCTTAACAACTCACTAAGAGTTCAGAAAAATTGGCATGCCGTAAAAAAGCTACGAGAGTTAAAATAAGCGCAATAAAGCTTCCTTAAAAGAATTCGACTAACTTTATAAGTGCTGTTTCACCGCCATCAACCTCATTGCACGTATATAAACTTCCTATCTTTATCACTTGCTTCTACACATGCAGCGTAGGAAATTGCTTATGGATATCAAAATTGGAAGTCATAAGGTGAATAATAGACTACCTACCGCCGATGGGTGATTTGATTTTCCAATTCGTGTGATTTTTTGGCGGCCGTTTTAAGGATTTCACTTGGAATTCCTGCCAGACGTGCCACATTCAACCCATAGCTTCTAGCAGCAGCGCCATTTACCCCGTGATACAAGAAAGTAACTGAAGGTATAGACTCTCCCTCCCCTCCCTCAGGGCACTGTTGGTCACTCTGTTGCTCTTGTGACGTCTCAAAGGCCATATGATTGTTAGTAATGTGCTTTGGAAAAGCTACTTCTAGCTCGGCCAGTGACGGATAGTGCGTTGTTACAAATAGGGTCAGGCTGGACACCTACCGGTGAGAAGAAAATATATCGAAATCGTTTTTGAATGTTTAAGACAGCACCCCATCATCTGCTCGCTGCCGTGGCGAGGAAAATAACCAAATACCAGTGGTGAATAACCTCATAGATAATTTAAGATTTCCATGCCCTGAACGAGCTTTTGGCTTGCACGATAAAGATCAGGTTTACCTCTCGTACACTAGACTGAGTAATGGATAGCTTTTGATAAAGCGTCTACCGACCTTTCCCAGGTGAGATCGGCGCACAATTTCAGCAAGCTCAGTCTAGAATATGAAAACACGGAATTAACGTCTAGAACACATACCTTACTAATAAAGTGATGCAGCGTAGCATAAGCAATGGCCGTACCATCATGGGTACTAGTACCCCGGCCCAGCTCATCCAGGATAACCAGTGACTTTGGAGTGGCCTGGGCAATAATGTCCGATGTTTCCTAAAACGGAAAAGAACCAAGTTTACAATCAGCTAACATTCTCAGCAACAAGTCTCCTACTTTATTGTTAGTTTGCCAAAACATGACTCCCAAACATCTTCCTTTCCTCATTCTTAAGCTTCATAATAAGACCGTAAAGTAACGACGCGATAGTTATTAATAGAACTCAAGAACTATTCACCTTCACCTCAAAACTACAGTACAACTACAGTACAACCTTTTGGTCAGGTTTGGTAAGACCCAACAGTTCTTTGTTTTTCTCGGCGATTTTAGTTATAGTAAGGCGGAATGTATGTAAGTACCTGAAGTTCGACCATAAACGTGCTCTGCCCTTTGTAAATGTTGTCTGAAGGTCCCATCCTGTGAACCATGCAGTGACAATTTCAAACACTATTGGAGAATAACTCCTAACAGTAGAGTACTACATATCAATTGTCATTAAAACTGCACCAGAAAGGACTGACAAACCCATATACGAATAAAATATGAATGTGAGGTAAATTTGAGCCTTTCATTTGTTCTCTATTATTAGTAATGATAATACCTGGTAAAAGCCGCGTCCAAAAGTCCAACTTTCGCCTCCTCTGCTGGAACATAAGAACCGGTCTGGGCCAGAATTACAATCAAGGCAAGCTGGTTTCAAAATAAAAAGACTTTTTACAACAGCATCTACTACCTTATCACATGTGGTCAGCTGGGATATGGGTGGTGAAACTGCTCGCTAACTCGAACTCACTCCATCGCTCAGTTTTTCGTTCGTTATTTCCTTACTTTTACGACGTTCTTGAAATTGTTTTGCGGCGCTCAGTTCCGAAGGACAAGATTATTTTATTAAGTACTATCTAGCCATTAGATTACCTTCCAGTTCGCCATAAGTGACAGTAAACGTTCAAAAGTAAAAAAGCTGAAGAGAACTGAATTTATGCTTACTTGTTTGATATAAGAGCTCTTTCCACCCATCTTTGGTCCAGTAATTATCATACAACGATTAGCATTTACCTGAAAATAAGTGACACTACAGTAATTACTCTTTGGAGATAAACCTTTTCCGGTGTGGTAAATTACTCGTACAGTAACCGTAAAGGCGGGTAAAATGCGTCCAACCCGGAAAAAACGGCAAGGCTATCGGGTAGAGTGATAATGCTCAATACAATGATAAGGAAAACATGGTTCCCTAGACCATATATTAGAGACCTTATAAAGATACACCGTTTCCGTGTACGGGCACGGGTAAATCATCCGTACTTTAGCCGTACATACGGGAGAAATGGGTAGGCTACGGAGTAGAATGGTAAACGCCATTATCACATTAGTTTGAGAAATCATGGTTGCCTTTAAAAAACTGCTAGGTAAACATGTTTGCTTACCCATACACGTAGGCTGAAACGGTGTATCTTAAGGTCACTATTAAAACAGGAGAAACACCTGCATGTCTAATAGCCATAACTAAACTCATACACGTGAGATCATCCGGCCTTCAAACTTGTCTTAGTAAGTGAATGCTATGAAGATGAAAAGGATTCAAACCCTGGCCCTGGTTCGTACCGGAATTGTTGGTTCCGGATATCGAGGAGTTTTCGAATATAAAAAGACAACATACCACGTATTAGAGCCATGTTAAATATTATCGACTATATTCATGTCTGTATCATTTGGTACAAACTGCTCGTTTTCGATCAAAGGATTATCTATCACGGGGTGTCGTCCTTGTCTGATGTAAATGTGAGATTCAAAGTCCCTCATAAAGACAAGGGACGTCGCGAAAATAAAACAAACTAAGCGAAAAAAGACGCGCATCGGTAAACAGTACTGTATGGTTGCTGTACTGGTAAAAGCATACGGAAACCAATTCTCGAATACCGCCTACCGATATCTCTCAGGTGAAATAAACAACAACGCAGATTGGTACACAAGTTCTGCAAGATATTCCGTCCGAATTGCTACTTCATTTTAGAATATTAAAGAAAACAAGGGATTTACGGCAAGTGTTAATGAATACATACCTTGCTAAAAAAGTGCTGCAGCGTAGCACAAGCAATGGCCGTACCATCATGGGTACTATTATCCCGGCCCAGCTCATCCAAGATAACCAGCGACTTTGGAGTGGGCTGGGTAATAATGTCCGATGTTCCTGTAGTACTGTCGCTCCACTTTGCAGTGAAACCACTCGCCTGCAGCTCGTGTTCCAGTTGAGTTTTGAACATTTTATGACGTCATTCCTATGGTCTATCAGAGTGTAGACCATGGAAAATTGTGGTCGATTTGTTAACTGAAAATCTTTTCCATTGGCATTCAGCTAAGTTATACCTGTGAGGAACCGTGTTATAAGTAGGGATCTGATACATGAAGTTTCCTACAGTACAAAGTTCCATGGCAGTTGTTTTTATGACTTGAATCCCCTGTTCTTCTTTTTTAACACCCTCCTCTAACAGGAACAGCACCTGGTTTTTAACCTACTTTCAAAGTTTTAAAGAAGGAAATAATATTATAGATGATTATATTTTCTGGTTGGCATTTTATCCTTTTTATTAAAAAAGTTATTTTTTAAGTAGCGTAACCCCCTTTTCTCAAGTATTTTCTTTTTCATTCAGTTGGGATAAATTCGTCCCCAGACTCCTCTCATTTTGTACGTCATCATGCTGACGATTACCTATGGCGTGAGCGCCCCAAAAAATTTTTTTGCTGCCTTTTGCGGGCCACATCCACGACAAGAGGAATTTTTATCTACTAGCTGAGGAGTTTCCATTTATGTTGCGCGCTAGTTTGTCTGCTGCAGAGGTTATCTGATGTATTTTAGAGTAAGTATTCAACTACTTTTTATTCCCAAGACCTTTCAGTACTTTAATGTGTCAATACCGCAGGCATTTTGGTACTGTTATAACTAGTGGATCTCTTTGTTCTAGAAACCTGTTTCCCTTCCAAGTCCTTAAGAACTAAGTTATAGCTATACAATATTCTAACCCTTTAGTTCCTTTTATTTTATTTTGCACTGTATATAGTGTTGGACGTGGCTGCATTGCAGTTTGTTGGTCTCTCAATATCAGTGTTTTTTACTTTTAACATTTTATTTTGCACTGTATATTTGTGTTTGACGTGGCTGCATTGCAGTTTATTGGTCGCTCAGTATCAGTGCTTTTTCTAACAATTAACTATTAACCATTTTTATTTGTGTTTTTATGCCTACAACACTCCCCCTGTTTTTATGCCTACAACACACCCTCCCTCCTAACCTGAGATCAGGCGTTATTTTATTTTATATTTATATCTATTTTTATTTTTATTTTATTGTTTTGCTTCTTTGCTTCTTTGGCGCGAGAGGAAAAAAAATAACGCCTGATACATTCATTTAACAAGTCATCAACCTCCCCCTTATTTACATAATCGAACGTCTGCTTGACCTGTGATGTTATTGACCAATCAGCGTTTACCCGACGGGAAGCAAATTTTGGCGGGAATAATGTCTCTTTGAAATCAATTTTAGCGAAAAGAAAATTTTTAAGTACGAATTCAGATGGCGCTTCCTAAAAAAAATTTAAATGTTTTTTTTTTTTTTGTGATGAGATACTGCTAGCTGGAGCTGCCGTACCTTTATTCAAAGCTATTTAACAGCTACAAATAATAAAGAGTTTACAGGTAAAAGCTCGTTGACTTCGTTCTGTGCCGAAAGCAGTGAAATAAAAAATTAGGCTGAAGCACCATATTTCACGAACTGAAAAGTGTTGTGAAAGCGAAGATCGCACAGAATAATTCTCAGGTTTCGGAAGGAGGAGTTACGGTCAAACCAGGTCAAGATTCCAGTTCCATTCATGAATTGATTATTTGAAAAGTGAACTCGTTTGTCGCTTCTGTAACTTGTAGCCGGTATCAAATGGTATTCAAATGATCGGTGAATTTTTTACTGCAATTTTTAGTATACGATGAAATGGAAAATCTTTCAATGGATGAAATGAGCAGGCAGAAATTTCATAACGAACTCGCGTGTGTATTCACTGCTTATTACGCAAGCAAAAATGCAGACTGAAATCAACAACAACTAACGGATGACGGCGTTTTGGCCAATCGGAACTGCGCAAATCATCCGTATGGTTTCCTATCCAGTCAGAAAAAAGTCAAGATTCTGGCTTTTTGCATGTGATCTGTAAAAGAAATGTATCATGCCCTCCTCCCGAAAACAGATTACAGAGATAAAGGGAGAGGGCATGATCGCAAGCTACCTCCCTCCCCACCTTACTCACCATTTTAGAGGAGACTTGGGAACCCTGCCATTAAGGATTCCATACTATACCTGTAATGCCACAAAGGTTGCTAGATAAATCTACTTTTTTTTCACAAAGGAATGGTAAAGCATCCAGTGATGGATGGATGTCAAGGCCTGCACAGATGTCTGATAAGCTAAGTGAGGGTTAGTTTTGGTATTTCGATTAGCTTTTGCCCCATTATATATCTCAAACGTTGTTATAGGAAAGCAAACGAGTTTTTCTTGTGTTCTCTATGTAAGGAAGTAGACATTTTCAAGGTGATGGTTTAGTTAATCTTTAGTCCTGATTTCCCGACACAAATTAAAAAGCACTTTGAAGTCAGCTTGTGTGTTTCTCGTCGGTTTTATACAGGTTATATATGCACAGATGACATCCGCCATTGGTAAGGACAAGTCACCCGAGTTTGGCTCAAGCTCCCTGAGTGGCGTTTTACGCGTTGAATGGATAAAAAACTACGGTACTACGTGTTTTGTACCTTTCCATCTCCCAGTCTGTTAAAGTGTATATGACACGAATTTTTTGCACTGTTGTAGGTCCTTCCATATGTGTTTTTAATTGTTCTGAAGTTAAAAAATGCGTCCTCCAAAAAAATCTTTCAATTTTGGCTATCAAAAACTGCATTTTTTATTTCATTTTCATTGTAAGAAATTTCTGAGAGACTGGGAACGAGATAAAGGATCCGTGCCAGGGTGATGATGTCATATGACGTCAATTGATTTGTTTACCTTTTGCCCACGCTTT